TAATCTATAATGTTGGAATAACAAAATAATAAGCATAGTAAAATTAATTAGAATAATTTGTTCATAATAATAATTTTAGTATTAACAACAAAAATTTAAAAATTTGTTTACACAATTTAGAATGAAAGAAAATAAAGGTTGTAAAATATATATTCCATGCATGTAATATAAAAATAATTATTTAAATAAAAGTATTTTTATAATATACATATATATATTCTTGAAAATTATGCTCAATTATATTATACATATTCCATGCACGATTTAACATAGTATATTTTACCCTATACAGATAGTCCCCCTACTTTCCGGTGACATAACTTTGTGTCGTCGGAAAGTTGATAGAAACATAATAATATAATTGAGCATATTTAAGAATATATAATGTATATTATAAAAATATCTTTATTTAAATAATTATTTTTGTATTACGTGCATGAAATATATATTTTACAACCTTTATTTTCTTTCATTCTGAATTGTGTAAATAAATTTTTGAAGTTTTGTTGTTAATACTAAATCATTATTACTAACAAATTATTCTAATTAACTTTTTTTACTAAGCTCGTTATTTTATTATTCCAGCATTGTACATGCTTAAATAATTTTTATTTTTTTAATTTATAAATAATATTTATTTATTCTATAGATAAGTCCATAATATAAATTAAATAGGGAAAATCATAATATTAAAAAGTTTAACAAATAAAAAGAAGATAAATATTTATAATTTAGAGGGTAAAATAGGTATTTGACAATCCAAAATTTGGAAAATCTAGTTGAGTGACCTTCTGAGTGCAATAAGCATATTTTAGTGACTTTGTTGTTACGAACAAAAGTAAAGTGACTTTAGGACATAATTTGGGATAGTTGAGTGACCATTTGAGCAACCAACTCCTTGTTTGGGACAGGCTACTTTTCTAATATTCATCATTCGAGAGGGTTGCTTTTAACAATTAAAGCAAAATAGTGAAACTCCGACCGTCGGGTCTCCACGTCGCCGGCATTATCAACACCTAACATGGCGGAGGAAGATGATGAATTTCGGAGCTTAACCGATCCAGATTCTGACCCGGAATCAATCCCTATGTTCTTCGATAGAAATCGGCATATTTGCTATCTAGAGATGATGCTGGAACTCATACCTTCACCTTATCAATCGCAAGAAATCAATCGCCTCACTCTCGCTTACTTCACCATCTCCGGTCTCGACATTCTACGTGCCCTCGATCGCGTAACTTTCGCCCTCTTCCTTTTAATTTATCCTTGCTTTTAAATATTTACAATTTAGAAAAATTGTTAATATTGTATTAGGAGCATTTTTGTCTAAATTGTGGTAGTTAATAGTAGTTAATACTCTCTTTATCCCGAAGTAATGACAGTAGTTTCTTTTCACTCATCTGTTTAAGCAATTTTTATTATATGATTGCTATACACTCTGTGCGTACTGATTTATATTACTTTTTCTTCTATTTTGGAATGCCTCTTCGATTAAATATTTAAATCTGTAAACTTTCATTTGATCTCTATCGAAATAACTTTTCGAATAGTACATCAAATTTTCTACCTCTAGTAGAATAAATTAGTTAAATTAACTTCTTATGCTTGTCATGTAAAAATGAAAAGGAGGGGGGGGGGGGGGGATAGTATATTTTTGTAATTTTTTATAAAAGAACTCTTTTCATGTTATACCAAAATTTAGATGCATTTAGCCTTGTATTATGAACTATGCTTTTTTGGAACGAGAGAGTACTTTGTTTTTCTTGTAAAGTGTCTATCCTTTCAGCTTTGATAATTTTTTCCTTGATTTATATCTGAAATTAATGTTGCTTCCTAGTAATTTGGAGTTAACTAAGCCAGCTATGATGTTCTGTTCGTATGCAGCACTCGAAGTTGCTCCTACTTTTAAGATTTCCTGACAATAAAATATCATGCGGTATAGTCACGTTTGCAGATCCCATCATACACCAAGTTTCGAACTGTGCGCCATTGACCCTCGGGGAATTGTCGGTTATAAAAAAAAACACATTTGCAGATGCTTGAAGTGGACAAACCTAAAACAATACTATAATTTATCTAATTATGAATGCATATAAGAGTTGGCTAGCCAAAGTAACATTTTCTTCCATGCCAGGTTGACAAAGAAGGGGTGATTAATTGGGTTTTATCACTGCAAGCTCATCCACGAGATGAAGCTGAATTGAGCAATGGTATGGTTCAGTTAATATAGAGAAGTGACTTCGATTAGTCAAGCAGTCTTTAAACTTGGAGATAGTAGATTTATTGGGGACTTTTGGTTTTGTGCAGGACAATTTTATGGGTTCCATGGTTCTAGGAGTTCTCAGTTTCAATCGAATGAAAATGGGGTACAAGAGCGGGTTATTGTTAATTGTTAATTGTTGTTTTGGATAAACAAGCTGATTTAGAAGAACTTATTCCTATAAATTCACCTGTCTTATGGTTTCTACACAGGATGCAATCCCCAATGGCAGTCATTTGGCAAGTACTTACTGCGCGCTATCCATATTGAAGACCCTTGACTATGACTTTTCACTGCTGGATTCCACATCAATCGTCAAATCAATGAAAAATCTTCAGCAACCTGATGGGAGGTACTTTTTGTGGCTTTTCTTTCTATGGATTGTATGTAATTCTTTGATCAATGATACATTGCGTATCTGAATTGCTGCCTTAGTTTATATATCTAGCAAAGTTTCTTTAGAACTTAAAAAGTACGCTTGGGTCTATACTCCATTGCTTTGGTTACTCTCATGGCAGATCTAGTAGAATGTGGAATGGTAGATGTACTCTTTAACTGGTCAACCCCATTGGTTCTTAATTTTGTATCTTTTTCTTTTCGTAATCTGTAACTAGTAAATTTGTCCACCAAAGCCTGTTGAAAAAAAAATCAACAAGACAAATAGGGACCATATTATTCACAGCTCGTACATCAGGAAGATGGTTTAAAACCTTTACAGAGACCACTTTTGGTATAGTAGCATTCTCACGCAAAAAGTCATTTTCCAAACTTTTTATGTCATAAAAGAAAACAAATATTTGAATTTAAATACTCAAAGAATATTTGTATTTCATTAATTAAAATTTTGAAAAGCTAATACATTTTTAGTAAATCCATAATTAGTTGTGCTATATATATTCAAACTCTCTAGAGCACATACGTATTTTAAATCTCTAATGATTGGGATAGTATATTTTATTTCTATATAAATATCTTACTATTACAAAATTTTATTACAGAATATCTTACATATATTTCATTTCTGTAATTTGCTTCATGACACCAAAGTTTGTAGCTAGTGCTTTAAATATGAAAATAATTTTTAGAAAGGAAG